GGAGCAGCCACAGAGAAGGCCCTCCCCTGAGGAGTCGCCAGCCGACATTGGCCGGCAGATGGAATTCGGAGGAGGCCTAGTATATATAGCTTACCCCATAGGAATCTTGGTAATTTGCCTACTAAGGTGTATTTTATTATCTAAAAAATAGAAGCAAATAATCAAGAAATGGGGCTAAAATATTATTTTCTATATATAGGATAAGTGGGTACCAATCACACTAGGGAAATTAACAATTTTAATATGTCCACTTGAGAGAATTTTAATATGTCCACTTGAGAGAAGATATAATTTTATGTTTAAAATTATATCTTCTCTCAAGTATTTTTTATGTATTTTATGTTAACCAATTAATTTCAATTTTGGGAAGAAACCTTTCCCCACTGTCTTTGGAGTCACTAGCTTCCCTTTCCAACCAAAACAATACATAAGAATGCATTGTTTTTACCCAATACTAAGCATTTAGGAAAAAAAACAGTGGGTAAGTTCACCAATCATACGAAGTTTGAATGTTATGTTCTAGTACAGCGTGTTGACATATCCAATAGGGTGGAATGAGAATAAGTCATGCTGCCCCCACCCCACCCCGTCCATTCAATTGAGTTCAATTTGCAGAACAAGTTTTCTTGGCAAGTTTTTTCAGAAGTGCTTTGCCTTTACCTTACCTTCCTAAGGCTGAGAGAAAGTGATTGGCCCAAGGTGACTTTGTGCCTAATGCAGGATTAGAACTCACAATCTCCCGATTTCTAGCCTGATGCTTTAACCACTACTCAAACTGGGTAGTCATGCTTTAGTCCCACTGAAATCACTTAGATTTAAGTTGATAATGACAGCTTGGTCTAGTAATTTTATAAGGTTTAGGTTAATTTAGCTATATTTTATGATGAAATGCATTCTTTGATCACACAGTAAGTACCGTATATCAATTAACAAGTATATAAACTTACTGTGTGGGCCAAGATAATATGAAGCAGTGAAATAGGATTTTAGAAAGTCCCTACAAAGATTTAAGAGTGTGTCAGCACATTTGATGTAAAGGCAAGTAAAGGTTCCCCTCATACATATGTGCTAGTTGTTCCCGACTCTAGGAGGTGGTGCTCATCTCCATTTCAAAGCCAAAAACCCAGAACTGTCCAAAGATGTCTTCATGGCCATGTAGCCGGCATGACTAAATGTTGAAGGCACACGGAACGCTGCTACCGTCAAAGTAGTCCCTATTTTTCTACTTGCATTTTTATGTGCTTTTGAACTGCTAGGTTGGCAGAAGGTGAGACAAGTAACGAAAGCTCACTCAGTTACATGGTCCTAGGGATTTGAACCGCCCAACTGCCGACCTTTCTGATAGACAAGCTCAGTGTCTTAGTCACTGAGCCACTGTGTCCTTCTGCACCTCTTCAAAGAAATAGTCCCTCCTTATTGTGCTTCTAATGTTCTATGTGAATTTTCTCATGATGTCTTTGACCTACTGAGTCTCTTGAGATTATTACCTTTTGGAATCAGGGCCATTGTAACAATAGACTTTATCATATGAAAGAATGTAAGGTTTCTAGACCTGTTTTTATTTTGAAATGCAGATTTGGCACAATTTCAAACAGTAATTTTGTGAGCTCTGTACCTTCCTTTTCTTTTAGCCTCACATATTTGTATTACCTATTTTTAACTTGTTTTGCTATTCCTAATAGCAAGCTCTGTGACTTATATTAACCTCTAAATGATCTTTGTTATGGTTAAAGGTTTATTCATTAACTGAATTGAGAACCTCTCATCTCCTTTTAGAAGGGGGGAAATAAAACTCCTAACAGTATCCCTAAAGTATTGCAACCACGTTAATTCAGACTTGCAAATCAACTTCAATGCTTGATTCATTTCAGGTACAAGTTTTGCAATCTGGTTTTTAAATAGAGGAATTAGGGAGAAATGTGGGAGAGGGTATTTATTTGCTTGATTCCACATGACAATGCCAGAATAATTGAATAGACTGTATAGTTAGTTTGACAAGGCAGAATATGAAATCAGCAGCCTCGCATACCAGAGGAAGGAGGTAGGCTCAGAGTCTCTGACAGTTATAATGAATTTTATCAGAATTTCTCCAAAGGCTGACCATTGTATGTTGAATTATTAAACCTTCCCTCCCCCCTTTCTGTGAGGTAATGAACAACTGTAAACCAACATGCATTTGTATTAGCTTTTTCAAGAATGAATAATTAATTGTGGGCCTGACATAGGAGATGTTTGGCTTCAAATGGCTGCATGTCAAAACCCATAAGCTGATCTCTGAGGCAGCCGAAAATCTAACTATAGTAATGGAGACTTGAGAGTTTTTATAGGATGGGATGTGCTATGGATACTTAAATGTGAACTTGCTGTATTGATGCTATTATGTTTTTATAGGTGGTGTCTGTAAGCAGTAAATTTTAGAAACACTATTAGAAGGTGAAGCAGGTTCTGATATTTCATTGTAAGTAGAGATAAATTGTGCCGAATTTTCCTTCAAGGCTTCAGGGTGCTATATTTATCTTTCACCATTTCCTGTCCAAAGTACTGAAATATGAGATTTTTAATACAGGGACAACTTTTGTTTAGGAGAACAAAAATTGTATTGTCTTATAATGAAGTTTCTGCAGTAGAAGCCCAGCTGGCTATGGACAATAGAACAGAGAGATTGCTATGAAACTGAACTCAAAGTAAACTCTGATGGGTAGAGTCAACTGTCGTACTCTTTTGAGTCACTCTCAAAATCTTCAGGATTAAAGCTTTTCTGGTATGCAAGGCTGTCTACATATCTGGAACCTCCTCACCGTTCCTAATGAGCAAACATAAACTTAAGAGGTAGTATCATCATATGCATTCTATTCTGGTCACAAGATTCAAGAATTTCATCACTAACATATATGAGGTTTGCTAGATATTATCCCAAAGATCTGTGATCTGCATGGTGGTATACTGTTATGACTGCAACATGTGGTTCAACATCCCATTTTTTAAATAGAAGAATGAATATTGAGTGATGTACAACATGCAAAAGTAGTGCAAAATTTAACATTTGTGATTCTTCTACCATTTCTCCAAATCTACCCTCATATGTACACTTGTTATTTAGTTGTCTGACTACTTTTAAGGAGCTACAGTAATATAACTTTAAGTCTAAAGTATCACTAGTGTCTATTTTTATTTAACACTTGATATTAAGCTTGATATTAATTGTAATATTTTAAGTAGAGTAACTGCATGAAAAAAAACCATGAGTACGACACTTTTAATTGGTGAGCTATAACTGCTGCAAAGATCTGATTTATCTAGCTAACAAAGATGCAAGAACCAAGTTCAGTGACCCCAAGTCAGTTGGGGGTCAGGATTTAGTCAGTTCAAACTAGAAGTTGTAACATTTTTGTTTTTTAGGACATACTTTTGTTTTAGCAACAAGATATTATTACATCTTATTGCATTCTTTGCGTTCTTAGTAGACTAGAAAAATGCTGTAGATATAATTTATTTTGACTTCAGTAAGGCATTTGATAAAGTAGATCACAACCTACTACTTATAAAACAGATCTGTGGGTTAGACAACCACCACTCCTTCTCCCATTGATATATTTATATATCTATATATTTTAACCAAAATTCTCGGACCATTTTATTACATGCTGTTTAACTTGTTCTTCTTTTATTTCTAATTTCTGAAAAAGGTTGTACATTTTAAGAATCACTAAAATACTAAGCAATCTGTATTCCACAAAGATATGCATTATTTATTTATTTATTTATTTCTAAAGCACTTTAACAAAAACGTTTCTCCCCTTAATCAATTCAAAAACTTTCTGAAGTTAAATTCTAATCCAGTGTTTTGCCATTCTTAAATTCTTTAAATTGTTGTTTTACTCTTCTCTTTTATCTACAATGAAGTGTCTTTCGTCGGCAGTTTGTTATTTTTTTACAGAATTTTTAAGGGTGTTTAGGCCAAGATACTGTATACTTAAAGGTTTTGGTTTTTGCATAACTAGGATTCAATAATGAATCAAAGATTTGTAAGAGTTTACAGGTTAACTTTGCTTTTCATCTACATTTGTAGAAGACTCACAAACATATCTGTCCTAGATGAGAATCTTTATTGTAGACAAGAATGAAGCCTTACATAATAGTTGATTACCTGCTATCAGTGAGAAGATTGCATGAGCTTTATTGCCTTTACTTGGGGCTTCTTGATTACTGTTACAATATCCAGATATTGTGCTTTGTGTCCTTGGAGCCAAGAAGTTGTATCTATACATAATGGTAAACTCCAGCATGGGACTTGTTGGTTACTACTTTAGTCTTCACATGATGGCAAGTGTATTATCTTCTAAAAGGCACTAATAATAGACATAAGGAAATCAATCAGGAAATGCCTTCTTACAATAGACTGGCAGTCTTTTGTTCGATGAGTTAGGCAAAACATAAATTCTGATGACACTCTGCTCTCAGAAAATATATAAAACTGTATGTTTCACATCTGTGTCTTGAGTAACATAACGTACATAAAGTAGGATTCCCCAATCCATGACTTATAATTTTATCATAGAGAACTCAAGTAAGAATTAATTTGGAAATCCTAAGTAAAATTGGGTACTTAGGACCACAGAGCTATATAATGAACACCAGGCAATATACTGAATGCTGGAAGAAGGAATAACACAACAAGAATGAGGGAGAAATCATCATTCCTTACTGTGACTTGGAACCTTAATTCTGACTGCCACACTGGTGAGGAAATCATTCCATTCTCTGATACAACTTTACATGAAGTTGCCCATGCAGACATAGAACAAAAGGTTCCTTCAAGGCAGATAAAGTGAATGTGTTCTCCTTAAGGCAAAAAAATAAAAATAAAAAATCAACAGACCAGCAAGTTAAAGAATGCATTAAAAAACACTATCATGATGTCGCAAAGGGAGATAAAATTCTTGTTCAGTTAATAAGAGGAGTTATTTTTGTTGCAAAAATAGGTACAAGTTAAGTATTAGGGGGAAGTTTGAATAAACCACATTTGGCAATGCATTATAATTCTGGAATGTTCACCTTTGACTTCTTATGAAACAGCCTAGTGCAGACACATTTTTGTTGCTATAACTGCAAAAAAAAAAAATTCCCCTGCCCTATTACCTTGGGCAAAACCTTTCGGGAAGAATGAAGCTGGTATATGAAATAATGTTCTCTCTGCTCTGAAGTTATAACAGACGGAGAAACAAAACAAAACAAAATAAAAGCAAATAATTAAAATTTGGAATGTGGATTTTCATGCAAACGGCCCTATCCTTTTCACAGCCTGAAACCTATCATAATGGCCGTAACAAATCATTTTTACTTTATCAGTTTCCTTTTTCTAGTTTTAAGTGAGTGCCATATAGCTACAGGGGAATTAAGCTGGAAAAAATAAAACACAATAGATCACATCTAGCATCCCTAGCCATAAAAAGAAACACAATCTAGGTTTTGCTTTTGAATGTCCTCCCTTTTTTGATTTAGGTTCCTGCTTCTTCTTATCCAATGTGTTATTTGATAGACACAAAAAAGCATACACATACAAAAACGTATATTTATCTCAAATGTAGAATGATTTCACAGTGTACAAAACATTTATTATTAATGTCATTAATTTCAGGATCTTATTTATACATGTTCATAAGGAAAGGGTATGAGTAACTTCAGGCACACTTTGAATTCCTAGCAAAATTATTCTTTGGAGAAAATGGTCTTCTCCACAGTAGTTTCATTCATTTGGTTTCTTTAAAAGAACAATAAAAACTCATTGGGGTGTCTCCCCAGGAGAGGATAGTTTTTCACCAACAGAGAGCACTCTTTCATCCACATAAAAACAAAATGCTCACGTTGAAGACCTTTTGTAAAATTTTGTTGCAGGAACAAAGGCGTTCATTCAGATATAAGGCTTCTCTGCTTTTAGTTCTTTCTGGTCACCTGATCAAGCTCTTGGTAATTTTTAGGCTACTTTAGTCTGCATTCCTCAAATTCTTTATACTTGGCCCTGTAATTAAGTGCTTCAGGTTCACTGCCTAAAACGTTGATTCTATAACTTTCCACTTCTTGTGCCCTCAAACGCAAGACTAATGCAACGGTCAAAGCTGCACTCAACTCTGAGTCTCAAAACCAACCTCTTGAAGCTACAAAAAAAGCAAAAAAAAAGTCTTCATGTGAACGCTGTGGAGTCCTAATCAGGTAAAACGGAGGCTTGCCATTTGTGTATATTTGCACAAGATTATTTTCTAAAGGATGCTTGGCAATATAAACAAAGCACTTCTATTTTGAATGTGATTTTTTTTTTCATTCCACATAAATTGTATGGTTTCTGATTTTGGTGACCGTTAAACTAATCTATTATTATGTATTGTATTTATTATAAAATTGTGCTTGTTCCAAGCAAGTTGTATCATCATTTGTGGATGACTATTTGGTACAAAAGTGGGGATAAGGATGGCAGATGCCAAATTATGACATAGTAAATGTTAACTTGTTGGTAATGGCATTTCTAGCCACTATAAGCATTACTACTGAGCATTTAAAATATTCTTGTACAAACAGCAAGTGAAACTAATGAAAGAAACTGTATAACCGTATTACCTTTACACTTTCGCAGTCAAACTCAGGTGAAATACTATTTGGAGATTTGTAATGCGATCAACAGAAAAAGGCTCTTGATGTGCCATCTGGAACCCAAGGATTACTTACTGTAACTTTATGGCATTGATGGGGAATATGTGGCAGAACCTTTTTATGCAGCAGGTCTACCAAAAAGCCTTGTTTGCCTTTTTAAAATGATGGTAAATTATGAACACTGTCTATCTTGTGCACAAAAAGGAAGGTGCAAAGAGGGGATAGAATTTTTAAATTTTTAAAAAAATTAAAAATTCATTTTATTCTTAATTAAACTTTCTTGATGAGCTTGAAAAAAGAAGTATAGAAGCTAAGTTATTACAGTTATTCTGGTCCTGGGCTACCACTGTTGTGCGTGTTTCAGAAATCTTTACAAAGCTTTTACCCAGTTGAGAGTAGGCAAACATGTTAATTAATAATGAAATACACAACACAATACAATTTATTGCATCTATCGCTTCCTAAATGGGCACAAGCCAAATGTAAAATAAGAGATAACACAGTTCTAGCGTACATTATACATACATCAGGACGTGGGTACAATTGGAGGGCTGATCACTTTATAATACTGAGCCCTATGGCACATATGCCACATGGCAAGAAATGGTTTTGCAGGGATTCAATCCAGTCCACAGAACACCCCTACTGTTTTATGTTACATTAAACACATTGCATCCTCCTATTTATTTTCCTGCACTTTTATCTCACCCATGACTAAATATATGTCAGCCCTTTGAGGGTTGTTGTTATTTTAGACTAAAGTATAGGCTACTTTGCGGATATAGGGTAGAATAACAGAAACTTGCAACCTGCAGTGTTTCCCTTTCTTTCTGTCTTATACCAGAGAGAATCAAGGGAGGGCAAACTTAAGTTTGTTTCTTATGCTTTCTTATTTTCCTGGACTAAGCCCATGTTTTGTCAAAGGCCTCCATGTAACTTCTCTAAAGCCATCTCTGTGTTAAACCATAGTTCCTATGAAACCTGAATGCATTAGACCACGGGTGTCAAACTCGCTACAACATGTTGTCATCACGTGATGTATCACAACTTTTTCCCCTTCACTCAACCGGGCGTGGGCGTGGCCAGCATGTGACACATCTGGTTTGACAACTCTGCATTTGACTGTTGTTATTAGTAGAGGTTCCTTTGCTACACATAAGTGACATAAGTCACTTTTTTCAGTGCTACTGTAACTTGGAATAATTGCTAAATGAATAATTGCACATTGAGGACTTCCTATAGTTTACAAGCCAGTATATCAATATGTATTGCTAATGAGGTCCTTTTTTTTCCTCAGCTCCTGGCCAAAAAGGTCTCAAGATTTGAAGAAACATTTATAGAAAAGGAATACCTGACGCATTATGGATTTATATGTCAGTAGCCTTAACTGAAAGAAGTCCCGCATAGCAGATTCAGTCTCATTGGCAGAATCAACTATGCACCACCTTCTCAAACTTGTTTTGGAACAGAAAGATCTTTCACGTGCTGGGGAACTCTTTTCTTTGGACGATTCTGAAATAGAAGGATGCCTATCCGAAGCCCTTGAGCAAATCAAACTAATTAGTTCATCTCCTGTAAGTAGAACCCTTCGTACTCTTTGCAAAGCAGAATATGGGTTAGAAAATCCATGTAAGCCATCTTGAGTCACCATGTACGAGTAGGTGGCAATATAAATTTTCTAAAATAAATAAATAAAATGAGATTTACCCTGTTTCCATGAAAATAAGACCTCCCCAGATAAGTATAATCGGGCTTATGAGTGCATGCGCTAAAATAAGCCCTCCCCGAAAATATTACAAAACAGCCATGAGGTGACCACACTCGCCACCTCCTGCACCTCAAAAATAATAAGACCTCCCTGAAAATAAGGCCAAGTGCTTATTTGGGGGGGGTCAAAAGAAAATAAGACCCTGTCTTATTTTCGGGGAAACACAGTAGCTTCAGAAGCTCAAGAAAATAAATTATAAATTTCACCCTCAATAAAGTGGGAGCAGTTATGATTACTTTTCAGAAAGACTGGGAAGGTAGCATGTCAGTGTGTCAGTGCCTGAAACTAAAGTCCGCAGGAAGCAAAATTATTTGAAAATGTTTTCTATTTGTTTAAATCAGAGTCGCCTTGAACCGTAAGAAAAGCAGCAAATCCTAAGGGTGCTTTTTCAAGAGGAAACTGTACTTTCTGGGTTTTCCTTGAAGTCGTTTCGCTTCTCATCCAAGAAGCTTCTTCAGCTCTGACTGGATGGTGGGGAAAAGAAGGATTTATATTCCGTGCATGCAGCTGGTCATTGGCATTCTTGTAAAGAGTCATTAAGGTCACCTGGAGATTTATAAGGGTCCTCAGGGTCACCTGAGTGGTGCAAATTGGTGTGGAGCCTTCTTGGAACTGTTGAAAGGACTGTGTTGTAGACTGGAGATAGATGATGTCATATCCCTCCCCCTCTGTTGAGAGAGGGCAGATCAATTTTGACATAGATGGCCTCTTTGACCCCTCTTTCAAACCAGAGTCCTCTTTCTCCAAAATGTGGAGTTTGCTGTCTTCAAAAGAGTAGTCTTTATTTTTTAAATGCAGATGGATTGCTGAATCTAATCCAGATGGGTTTGTTCTTCTACACTGTTCCATGTGTTTATCAAGTGGTTAATCCAGCCAGAGCTGCAGACCAGAAAATCCAGTTGCCTCTTGAAGAAGCTTTTTTGGGACAACCATGACCTGGATGACTAAGAATTTCTATAGACAAAAGCAGCAAGTAAATGTGATAAATAATGTATAAATAAATCATTCTATAATTATTCTTTAGAACCTTTTTATTAAAGTCATGAATGTAATAATAATAGTAATTCCCTGTTTTTAGCCAATAAGTGAAAAGAAAAACAATATCGATTGCAAGGATAGCAGAATGTGTCAATAAAAGTTAGAAATCAGAAATCATACAAAACATTTCATTGTTTAGGAATAATATTTTTCATACAAGTACCCTTGGTATCTGGCCTTTAAACTCAAACATTAAATACATCTTAATGTTTCTTGTGATAAAGGCATATGGCCCAAGTATATGCATCTGCTAGATGACACATGAATTATACCAGTCATCAGATTTGTGCATCTTTGAATTTACTATTATTGAGAAATTTGGCAGGCTGGCAAAAAGGATCATTGGCTTATTATCTAATATGAATCATTTACACCCAGGGTTTGTATTTTTGATTGGATGGCTTACAACTTGACTTGAAAACAATATATCTTGAAGTAGAAGAAAACAATAAATTCTGCATTCCTTGGCCAGTGTTAAAGAATATTAAAATGATGCCCGTGATGAACATTTATTGATTTTCTTGAGAGCCTTACAGGAGAATATATGTTCCAAAAATTACTTACCAAGCATCCTTGTTTTATACTTGTTTTGAATTTTTTCTTTCAAATGTATGCCCCACTCAAGTATGATGTACGTTTGTGTGGGTACCCATCAGGGGTGGGTTCCTGCCAGTTCTAACCTCTTTTATAGAAGAGATTCCACAAATCTACAGTGCCATTTAGAACCGGTTCCAGCTCCCTACCCCCACCCGTCCGCATATCATCAAGATGAAGAGCGAGAGGTGGAATTCTGGGAGTTG